GTGTTGCCTTTTTAAATTTTTGTCATGCAATAATTAAAACTGTATTATTAAAAACATTACTAAAACATGGATGTTTCTTATTTTGGATCAACATTTAATATTTGTTTTAATTTATAGGCCTAATGTAAACACACACACACACAATTCAATAATATAAATTATGATCTAAAACAAGGAAACATATCCATGTTTTTGTCCTTTTTTACATTTTTAATTATTGCATGATAAAAATAATTTAATGAAATGATGACCTTATATAGGCTATTTATATGTGTGTGTGTGTGTTTACATTACATATTAAAATACATTTAAACATAAAATGTTAATCTATAATAAGAAATATATCCATGTTTTAATCATGTTTTTAATAATATATTTTAATTATTGCAGGACAAATATAAATCAAAATTAAATAGTGACACACACACACACACACATACACTATTAATTAATATAACTTTTGCCAAAATGTTGATCTAAAATAAGAAACATATATATTTTTTTATTGCATGACAAAATCATTTATTGAAAGCGTGACCGTATATATTTATACATATACATAAAATAAGAAAAATGTCCATGTTTGGTATTTTTCACTCCATGCCCACAATGTGCTTTGTGTTATTTCAGGTGAGGGAAGAGTGGAAGTATGTGGCCATGGTCATGGATCGGCTCTTCCTGTGGATGTTCATATCAGTGTGCATTCTGGGTATTGTAGGCCTGTTCCTCCCTCCATGGTGGGCTGGAATGATCTGATGATCATCCTCATCATAAAAAAATTAATAATAACAATAATAATAAAACTCATAGATCTGGAGCTGGTGAATATCATGATGCTCATAATATGGAAAAATTTAAGAATTAAATTAAATATAATGTTAGCTAAATTTTAAATGTTTTTTCCCTCTGTTGTTAATATTTTGGTAATATACTGTTATTAATATATTATCTAATGGATGGAAATTAAAAGTGCATTAAATGTATTAATAATAATCATGGTATCGTGTTTGACATTCCTCGAAACTTTTGCATCTTTAAAATAAATAATATTTTTACTTTTAATAATTTTTTAAAGAAACAACAGTATATTATTATATGTTAATATTAGATTTTAACACAAAAAACAAACTTTTTAGAAGATATATATTTTTCTTGTATTAAAGAAGCAAGTGCAGAACTCACAAAAATAAATAAAAAATACAAGATTTTACTGTGTTAAAATAATTAGTGTAGTAAACTTGCAGTTAAAGAACGACCTTCCACTCTTTTCCGCCGAACAGATGAAGAACTACATTTCCGCCACCCAGATAAACTACATTTCCCACAATGCACCAGAAATCGCCAACAACTTCCTCAGGACGTGTTTATCACTGACCGCGTCCGCTGCTAACATGATGGATCTAACAAACCAGCAGATTCTCGTGAGCTACATCTGATTCACTGACTTAGTTGTGGTTTTATAAACCAACGTGTTAGTATCATAATTTCCTCAAGAGCTCATGACTCATGTTTACGTTGTTCAGAGCGCTGATGCTAAGCTATGCTAAGCTAAGCTAAGCTAACTGTACACAGTGTTGTGTTTGTGATATGAACTGGTCAATAGTCTGTTTTTGAGGATGTACACTTTATTATCGGGTCTCTACAAATATGTATTTCAAAAGGACGAGTATTGCATCCTGATCCTCGGTCTGGACAATGCGGGAAAAACGGTAAGACTAGAACTTAATAGTTAAAGCCTCCTTCACTTTTACCAAACGAGAAGTAGTTAAACTCTTGATACAGTTATTCAGTAAAAGGCTAGTTGTGGTTTTATAAACCAACGTGTTAGTATCATAATTTCCTCAAGCGCTCATGACTCATGTTTACGTTGTTCAGAGCGCTGATGCTAAGCTAAGCTAAGCTAAGCTAACTGTACACAGTGTTGTGTTTGTGATATGAACTGGTCAATAGTCTGTTTTTGAGGATGTACACTTTATTATCGGGTCTCTACAAATATGTATTTCAAAAGGACGAGTATTGCATCCTGATCCTCGGTCTGGACAATGCGGGAAAAACGGTAAGACTAGTACTTAATAGTTAAAGCCTCCTTCACTTTTACTAAACGAGAAGTAGTTAAACTCTTGATACAGTTATTCAGTAAAAGGCTTTCTGGGTTCGGGACGTTTTGAGGTTATGATGCACAGAAATCCTGTCTAGGTATCAAATTTTCATGTTGCGATTAATTGCTAATGCTTTTATCGCGGTATACGGTATTATCGCGATATTGACATTTAGTTTTAAAAAAGTGCTGTCGTAATACAGTATAACAGGGTTAATAACAAAAGGTTTTCTTGTAACAAAAATAACTGAACATTTAAATGCAATAAAGCAATACAGAAAAATGTATAAAGTTAAAAGTTTTACACAGATTAAAGTGCAAAAGAACTATAAAGACCGATAGCTATCACTTTACAATAAGACCTCGTTAGTTAAGCTTAGTTCACAATGAGCAATAGCTATATTTGCTACAGAAGTTATTAATCTTTGTTAATAAAATACAAGTCTTAGTTCATGTTAGCGCATTAAATAACACAGTTGCAACTTTCGATTTCAGAAGAATTTTGCATTGGCAGTTTATGTTAACTAATGAAGCCCTAATGTAAAGTGTGACCGAACAATAAAGAATCAAAACACTTTCAAACAATATCTAGGGCGTGTTGTAGTCCAGATTAACATGTAAAAAAAGTTTGAAAATAAATAGCCTATTAAGTCTCAATATTTAAGTATTTGGCGCGGTGATGAACATCAGAGCAAATACACACATCTGAACGGCTGTTTAAATCCTTTAAACACGATTCAGAAACAGAAAGTAGTGCAGCTGCGTTTCCGGGGTAACGGCTGCATTTAAATGAATTATTATTATTATTATTATTATTATTTCTGCAGTTTAGCGCCTCAGCATATCAGAGAGTGAAAGTGCGCATTCCTACAGAGCGTCTTTGATGGGAAAAGTATTCTTAAAACGCATTCAAAATTGTGAATAACTTGTAATATATAATTGTTCACGGTATTTAGAAGAGCCCACGATAACAATACCGTGCATATTCATTACCGTGATATACCGCGTTACCGAATACCGGCACAAGTCTACATCTCACTAGTTTCTCACTTGACGTGTTGTTTTATTTTTATTATTGAATATTGCAGACATTTCTGGAACAAACAAAAACCAAGTTCAGCAGAAACTACAAGGGCATGAACCTTTCGAAGATCACAACTACAGTCGGCCTGAACAGTGAGTGATGCATGCTGGGAAACCGAGTCAAATCAGTAATAGAGTGAGCAGTGGTTTAATTCATTCGTCTGGTTTCTGTTTCAGTCGGCACCATTGATGTGGGAAAAGCTCGTCTGATGTTTTGGGATCTCGGAGGACAAGAAGAACTACAGTCTTTATGGGATAAGGTGACATGCTGTCATTGCATCTGGGGATCAGATCAGTGCGTTGAATGGTCATTGAATCTGTTTCTGATGTTGTATTCATCTCGTTTCAGTACTATGCAGAATCTCATGGTGTCATCTATGTCATCGACTCCACCGATGAGGAGCGACTGGGCGAGTCAAAGAACGCTTTCGGTGAGTTGTGCTGCAGCGAGGGATCAATGCAGTTCTGTACAATCACCAGTGCTGTCATTTAATGAACCCATCTAAAATAGGGACGTTTAAGTAAGTAAAGGATATAAACACTGTTATAATGTACACAAAAATAGGCAAAGGTCTTCCTTCATATGAAATGCAGGTTTGTTTAATAAGACTGCATTATATTATATTATATGCAATATTAATTAAAGTAAATCATATAGGCCTGTTTTGTTATTTTTTTTTATAATTATAAATGATTTCTGCAGGTTTAAAAAAGTCCTAATTTGCCCTTCCACAAATAAAGGCCTTAAATCAGAGCCAAGAGTCTTCGTTTCATAAATGAGTGGCATTAAATGTTGCAAAATAAATCAAACAAAAAAGAATATCTTCCTCAATATCGTCTTGTTTTAGGACACAAACATCTAAAGTTAAAAATAAATGTGACCCTGGAGCATTTGGAACAAAACCAGTCTTAAGGGTCAATTTTTCAAAATGTATATATATATAAATAAATAAGCTGAATAAATAAGCTTTCCATTGATGTATGGTTTGTTAGGAGAGTGCAGCGAGGGATCAATGCAGTTCTGTACAATCACCAGTGCTGTCATTTAATGAACCCATCTAAAATAGGGACGTTTAAGTAAGTAACTCTTTAAGTAAAGGATATAAACACTGTTATAATGTACACAAAAATAGTCAAAGGTCTTCCTTCATATGAAATGCAGGTTTGTTTAATAAGACTGCATTATATTATATGCAATATTAATTCTTATAAATGTTAATTTTCACAACGTTAAAGTAAATCATATAGGCCTATTTTGTTATTTTTTTTTATAATTATAAATGATTTCTGCAGGTTTAAAAAAGTCCTAATTTGCCCTTCCACAAATAAAGGCCTTAAATCAGAGCCAAGAGTCTTCGTTTCATAAATGAGTGGCATTAAATGTTGCAAAATAAATCAAACAAAAAAGAATATCTTCCTCAATATCGTCTTGTTTTAGGACACAAACATCTAAAGTTAAAAATAAATGTGACCCTGGAGCATTTGGAACAAAACCAGTCTTAAGGGTCAATTTTTCAAAATGTATATATATATAAATAAATAAGCTGAATAAATAAGCTTTCCATTGATGTATGGTTTGTTAGGAGAGGACAATATTTGGCTGAGATACAGCTATTTGAAAATCTGGAATCTGAGGGTGCAAAAAAATCTAAATATTGAGAAAATCATCTTTAAAGTTGTTCAAATGAAGTTCTTAGCAATGCATATTACTAATCAAACATTAAGTTTTGATATATTTATGGTAGGAGATTTACAAAATATCTTCATGGAACATGATCTTTATTTAATATCCTAATGATTTTTGGCATAAAAGAGAAATGTATAATTGTGACCCATACAATGTATTGTTGGCTATTGCTACAAATATCCCCCAGCGACTTAACACTGCTTCTGTGCTGCAGGGACACAAATAAATAAACAAATATCTGTCGGTGGGAAATTAAACTTGCTAAGTTTTGAATGAAGTTGAATTTTCTGACTCCATTGGCAGATATTTGCTTTTTTTTTTTTTTATCCTAAACTCCTCAAACTTAATTTTGATTCATTTCACAGAAAACAACACTTCTTATCTTATGTAATTTTGCTTCTCAAGTAGATGTATATTGAGTTATGACTCTTTAGACATTGTGCACTGGAAAACAAGACAAAAATACTGAGGAAGAGCGTCACTTTTTTGCGGTGCAGTCAGAAGGAACAGTGAAAGTTAGTAAAATAGCCGATCTATTCAAGCTGTATTTTGTACAATAAATTCAAAAGTTCTTGAGATCTGCTGGAAGTTGTATTTTATTAATATTCTGATGCTCTCGCTAGACATTTAAAGGACATATTGAAGCATTGCGTTTCCTTCAGTTTATTCTTTGCATTTTCTTTGCTTGGTCTTAAAGTCTTAAATTTACCTTCAGGAGCCTTGAAGTGAAAAATAATATGAACAAAACAGAAGAAAATGTATTTTGGCAGGCCTTGTCAGATGATCTGGTGGAACGTGGATCAGGCCTGAATCAGTGGCTAATGTGAAATGACTTTGTTCCCATCATACAGAGAAGATGATCAGCAGTGAAGTTTTGGAGGGAGTTCCTCTTCTTGTGCTGGCGAACAAACAGGACAATGAGGTATGAACTGAGACCACCTGTGTGAGAAAACACTACTCGGAAAGATCTCATTCTTCTGGGACACCTGTCATCTCCCAGTGGTCTGTAGGTGGTGCTGTGCTCCTTCATTTCCACGTTGAGTTGTAATGATTGCACTGCTTGTCTTGTGTTCGTCAGAACTGTCTGTCTGTGTCCGACATTAAGACGGCTTTCAGCGACTGCGCTCCCAAAATCGGTAAAAGAGACTGTCTGGTGCAGCCCTGCTGTGCTTTATCAGGGTACGTCTGCCTCGTTTCACTCATTTATTATTCAGTGGAAACCCTGCTGCGTTCAAGCACTCCAAAAAAACATGACGGTGAAGTTATGAGAAATGCACAGAAAACAACAAAAACTCTGTGTGCAGCTCAAGATCAATCGCTGATGAGTTGGTGATTTATAGAGAATGTTTGGTAGCACTCTACTTAAAGCCTTTATGTATAATGCATTATAAAGCTATTCATAATACACCTTGTAATGCATATCATTTCATTAATAGATGTAACCAAAGATTAAATGCATCACAATAGCATTTAAATAGAAGGTTTGTCATGTTTTTTTTTAATGCATTATATACTTTCTAAAGGTGTAACAGTGTATTATAATGCATTTTAACTGTGGTTACAATCATTCATGAGCTTATACACCGCATTATAAAGACACAATTAATGCATTATAGGCTACTTTTAGAATGCGTTATATATAAAGGTTTTATGTAAAGTGTTACCGATGGTTTTTATATATTTTAACTTTAGTTGATGTTTTTTTGACAGTGTAAAATGAATCATGAATATTGCAGTGATTTTGAAGCATTGCCACAATTCCAGTTTTGCACTTGTTCCTTTACGTCTTGCGTATGAGAGTGTTAAAAGAGAAATATTTTAATACCATTTCAGATTTAAACCTTTGTAATAATAATGCTGACAGAATTGAGAAGTTTACTTCTGCAAATAAGCTCAAAGCCCAGATTCAGCAATTAATTCACGTCACATCTCTAATTGCAGAAGTTTGCATGTGCAAATTTACATGCTTGCCTTTTCTTTTTTTTTTGGTTAAAAATACACTACTGGTCAGAAGTTTGGAATAACCATTTCCATGAAAGTATTAACCATTTTCAACACTGATAATAATCAGAAATGTTTCTCGAGCAGCAGATCAGCATATTATACTGATTTCTGAAGATCATGTGACACTGAAGACTGGAGGAATGATGCTGAAAATACAGCTGCACATCACAGAAATAAATTTCATTTTAACAGATATTCACATAGAAAACAGCTGTTTTAAATTCTTATAATATTTCACTATTTTTACAGTAGTTTTTGATCAAATAAATACTGCATTGGTGAGCAGAAGAGACTTGTTATTAGTTTTAAACTTTTGGCTGTTAGTGTATATCTTGGTAAATATTGCTGTTATTTAATACTAAATAAAAATTATTTAAAAATAATTGTCCTTATTGCTCTAAACTTCTTAATGCATGTTAAATATGGTGTGTGTTTTCTGTGCGGTTGTGTTTTACAGGCAGGGCGTGAATGACGGCATTGAATGGATGGTCAAATGTGTGATCCGGAACATTCACCGGCCACCCAGAGAGAAAGACATCACATAGAGCGACTTCTGTGTGAGAGTGTGTGAGAGAGTGTGTGTGTGAGAGAGTGTGTGTTTACACTTTTTTTTTTTTTAAGTTTTTTAATTTTATTAATTTTTGCCAGATGAATACATTCCAGACTTTGAAGTTTTTTTCTTTTTTCTCTTCTTTTTAAATTTAATTGTATTTTTTTTTATTAGTTTTAAATTAATTAATTTTATTTTAAACATCACAGACTTACACTGAAGAGTGCCTAATTTGGACTAGTAAGCAACTGAATAGCAACATGCAAAAAGGCACGCTGAACACCCTAGTTACTGCACACCAATAACAAAAAAATATATCAAGACTTGATCATTATTTGTTGCATGTGACAGTTTTCTACTTTTATTCCATCTTAATTTACGGTCATTATCCCTTACATTACTCCCAGCGGTCTGATGTATGTAAGTGTCAAAGGTGTACAATACTCTTTTGAAATAGACAACAATATCTAGAAATATTTACCAGATACAGCAGCCTAAAATGTAGAAGCATTAGATTAGAAAATATTATATATCAAAATATCAAAGCAAGCAAACAAATGCTGCAAGAACTTTTCTTTCTTCTATGGCATCGCTGTGAAGAGCCTTTTAAGCACCTTTATTTTTAAGAGTGTTCTTGTTCTTGTAGAGTTTGATAACAGGATATTTCTTGAGCTACACATCCAGCTTACTTGAATAACATTTAATTATTTAGTAGATGCAATTATCTATTGAGACGCATTCATGAAAAGTACAAGCACATGATGTTTTATTAACAAAGTTCGGGAGGAGCACGTTCAGATAATTAACCCGGCCAATTCATCATCAGCAATTACATCATCTATCCTATCAGCTCGAGAGAGAACTTCTATAAATAGCCCAAGCCATCTTACCTTCATTCTCTCTACTGTATTTCAGCATTCGGTTCACTCCTTTTGCCTTTTTATCACAGACCCAATTATTTCTCGTCCAACGACGAGACCGATACTGGGGATTTTTCAGATCCTCCTCCGCAATTTGCCGGCCCCATGATCACTCCTTCTCTGCCAGACACGGCCACCGAGCACCAGGCCTCATCGTGGCCGCTGCTCTTCTCGACCAGCCACACGCTCTCCACGACGCAGAGGCTTAACCTCGCCTCCACTGGCAAGACTTCCAACTTCCCCCGGCATCCTCGTATCATTCGGCCATATCAGCAACTCCTCCGATCGGAAAGTGGACAGTATTGAAGTACGAGGCAAACGTTGATTAATTCCAATGCACCGTTCTCGCAGAGGGTAAACAAAGCAGATCTGTACGATCTATTCGTCACCCTGCAAATTAGCCAACCTCACTCCTAAATCCATTCCTGCCACCAAGGCGGCCAATAGACCGTGCAAAGCCCCGAGCTCGCCTTGCTCAACTCCACCATCGTCCCGCACAAGACTCGGCTCTCCTCGAGAGCTGGGTCGCAGTAGCAGCAGTTCTTCAACAAGCCTGGGCTGCGTCCCATTTCTCACCGCAGCAGCCTCACTCGCTTCGCGCTTCGGCTCAGCCTTACATAAATGGAAGTTGATGCCGTTTTGTAACCAAGTTAATCATCCACACTGAAATGTCTGAAAGCATTACATTCGCCTTACTGTGCATGTATAAAACCTCACTGAGATACAGACGGAACGGACATAATAAGTTTCATGCAATTCTTCTGGCAGGATCAATTAATTTACGGAAATATTCCATCATTCACTGACGCGCCCATGGTGCACTCACTCAGAATGGATCTAAAAAACGCAACTGCCCTCGTGTTTTGCCGCAGGACAGCAATCGTGTTTGCATTTCAATGGAAACGTATTAATGTGGACAAGGCTTGAGGAATTGAGGCTGCCTCCGCTAGCGGCATAGGCTACACAGGCTCTTCGGGATGTCACAAACCCCGCTTACTTCCCATGGCCTAGAGGCTGCCTCCGCCTGCAACACAGGCCCACACATCTGTCTTTATAACCCTTTTTTCTTTTCAGTGGCCTCCAGCTCCCATAGCAAACCAAAAATGTTCAACATGTTATCAGAGGCTATCTGCTGAATTCTCTCCAATAATTACGCAATCCTTTACCTCATTCACCTTTTATATGATTTTTTGATCATCTCACCTCCTGGCTCCATCCCAGCCGCGCATCTAGAGTTATATAGAGTTATATCGAGTTATATCCTCTAGTCGCCGCAGTAGCCCTGTGGGGGAATGAATCGTCCACCACCAGCATCATAGTGCATTGCCATAATGAAGCGGCCGTGCATTGCATCAATAAAGGCCAGTCCCATTCCCCTGCATTAATGCCTTTTCTAAGACGTCTCATTTGGACTTCAGCTTGCGACCAATTCATTTTAAATGCAATCCCAGACCCAAAAATCAAATAGCTGAGACACTCCCATTCTGCTTTCCAGGAATTCAGGCTGCTGGCGCCGATATTCGCATAATCTGCCCGCAAAAAAAATAAAATAATAATAATTAAAAAAATAATAATAAATAAATAAAAAATATAAAAACCCTTCCAGATGCCTCACTCAGTTATATTCTCCAGTCAGTCTCCCCCAGGACCCTCCAATCCTACTTAACTGCTTGGAATGGTTTTTAAAAATGTCACCACGCTTACAAACCTGCTTTTCTCCTATTTTTCCCTCATCATCTCCTCCTCATTCATCGCCCATCTCAACTCCAACAAAAAACTCCAAGCCAGCTCCATCAAAGGCTACCTAAGCGAAATTAAATATTTCCACAAGCTCATGTTCGGCTCACCCTCCCCAGAAATAGCCAGCTCACAGACATCCATGCTCATCAAAGGTATCCAAAGAGCCCAACTCACCCGCCCAGAAGCTAGACAGCCAATAACTCTAGATATCTTAACCAAATGCATTTCCACTCTCCGCAGAGGCTACCACTCCATTCACAATGCCCGCACGCTCGATGCCATGTTCATATTGGCCTTCTTCGGTTTCTTCAGATGCTCGGAACTCACCATCACTTCCTGCTTCAATCCAAAAATCCACCCAACCTTTTCAGACCTATCAGTGCTAGATACCAAATCAATCTCTTACTTGTTAAGCAAGCAAGATAGTATATTATTATTAAGATAATATTCATTATATCTTCAATCTTCAGTCACCAATCCAACCATACCAAACTCTCTTAGCCTACCTGCATTACAGAAGCCCGCAGGCTAAACTCCCGTCTGACCCGCATTTGTTGACAACTCTAATCGCCCCGCCACACGTTCTGGTTCCAAAAACACCTCAAGCCCATTCTACTGCTATACGGCATCCCAGCAGATCATTATTCCAGCCACTCCTTTTGCATAGGCACAGCTAACACAGCTGCCCAAAAAGGCCTCTCCCAGCCTCAGATCCAGGCACTCTGCCGCTGGACATCAGAGGCCTTCAAGACCTACATTCGGCCAGACCGCTTCCATATCAAAGAAGCTCACCGAACCCTCATCAGCGGAGTCCTTTAACATCAGCTCATTTCCACAGCAGCAGTGCCCGCTTAAGCGAAATTAAATATTTCCACAAGCTCATGTTCGGCTCACCCTCCCCAGAAATAGCCAGCTCACAGACATCCATGCTCATCAAAGGTATCCAAAGAGCCCAACTCACCCGCCCAGAAGCTAGACAGCCAATAACTCTAGATATCTTAACCAAATGCATTTCCACTCTCCGCAGAGGCTACCACTCCATTCACAATGCCCGCACGCTCGATGCCATGTTCATATTGGCCTTCTTCGGTTTCTTCAGATGCTCGGAACTCACCATCACTTCCTGCTTCAATCCAAAAATCCACCCAACCTTTTCAGACCTATCAGTGCTAGATACCAAATCAATCTCTTACTTGTTAAGCAAGCAAGATAGTATATTATTATTAAGATAATATTCATTATATCTTCAATCTTCAGTCACCAATCCAACCATACCAAACTCTCTTAGCCTACCTGCATTACAGAAGCCCGCAGGCTAAACTCCCGTCTGACCCGCATTTGTTGACAACTCTAATCGCCCCGCCACACGTTCTGGTTCCAAAAACACCTCAAGCCCATTCTACTGCTATACGGCATCCCAGCAGATCATTATTCCAGCCACTCCTTTTGCATAGGCACAGCTAACACAGCTGCCCAAAAAGGCCTCTCCCAGCCTCAGATCCAGGCACTCTGCCGCTGGACATCAGAGGCCTTCAAGACCTACATTCGGCCAGACCGCTTCCATATCAAAGAAGCTCACCGAACCCTCATCAGCGGAGTCCTTTAACATCAGCTCATTTCCACAGCAGCAGTGCCCGCTTCTGCAGAAGCCACATTCTCTTTTCAGATGCCACAGCAGTGCCCGCTTCCGCAGAAGCCACATTCTCTCTTCAGATGCCACAGCGGTACCCAGGAGCCAGTGTTTCTTTTCAGATATCACCAAAGTGCCCACTCCGTCAGGAGCTTTTATCTTTACTTCCCACTCATCTCTACTTCCCATTGCCTCAGTAGTACTCGCTCCCGCAGGAGCCCGTATCTTTACTTCCAACTGCCGCAGCAGTGCCGGCTTCCACAGAAGTCACATTCTCTTTCCAGATACCACCACAATGATTCTACTCCAAGCGACGTCCAGCACCCCACCAACCTTAAGCTCTGCAAGTTTTGGGGGGTTATCAACGCCCCACTCTGGCTGCTGTACCACGCTAATTGCATCTTTTGGGGGGAGCGCTCTCTCCACGGACAGGGGGAGTACCCCGGGTTTGGGAGGAATTACCGAACTCGGAGCCCTCTTCCCGGACAGCACGCCAAATACGCATACCATTCATCCCGCTATATTATCTGTAAGGCGAACTCATGAAATTAATTATTGAGAATATTAACACTCTAAAAATAAAGGTTATTTATTGGCATCAATGGTTCCTTGAAGAACCTTTCCATTGCACAAAACATTCTTTATAATGGAAAAAAAAGTTATTTAGATTGTTAAAATGTTCTGCTCAGTAAGAACTGTTCTGAGATAGGTTCTTTGGGGAAGCAAAAATGGTTCTTCTATGGCATCTTTATGAAAAGGTTCTTTTGGAACCGTTATTTTTAAGAGTGTAGAACCTTTTCACTGCACTAAAGGTTCTTAATAGTGGAATAAGGTTCTTTGGAGTATTAGATAATGTCCTTCTAACTAAGAGAAAATGGTTATTTTTGGAACTGTTCACTGAAAGGTTCTTTGAGGAACCCAAAATGGTGGTTCTATGGAACCTTTATTTTTTATAACATTTTACCATGTGACATGTGGATACCATAGGATATGAATATGGTAATCAGTTAGTACCATAGTATTGCCATTTGACACCATGATAGTGCCACAGTCCTCTTTTTATGTCCATTGCTGTTTTTATGACTTTTTTCACATTCTGGCTTCTCTCCTCTGCACCTTTTAAATGTCAGAGAAGTTTTCTTCACCGTCTCACATTCAATTTGTCACACCTTTCTGCACCTCTTTCTGTAGTCTCAGGAGAAGCAGGTGCAGAAGCAGTTGGCAGAGAAACGGGAGCGTGAGAAGGAGGTGCTCACCAAGGCCCAGGAGGTCAACAACAACTACAGTAAGATGACTGAGGAGAAACTTCACCACAAAATGGAGCTGATCCAAGAAAATCGCATGGCCCGTCTTAATGCTCTCAAACAGCGTCTGAGAGAGAAGGTGAGTCTGTCTGGTTGTTTTTAATTAATCAGTGTATGCTATTATATAAAGAATATGACTCTCAGTCTCCAACATTCCATTCAAAGTGCCTCCTCCCCTTTGAAGTTCTCATTCAAATTTAAATCCATTTTACATTTTTGCATTTGGCAGATGCTTTAATCCCAAGCAACTGACATTACATATAAAGTATATATATTATCAGTTCATGCATCACCTAGGAATCGAACCAATTGCCGTAGCTTTGCTGGCGCCTCTACTGGTTTGAGCTATGGGAATGGCTTTTGTTTGAAACACACTTTTCATGATCCAATGGATAAAATCAAGTCCCTAAAAATCAAGAAAGTATAAAATGGGCTTGGAATGCTGTTTTATTTTGACATGTTTGCATAATGAAGAAGTATGGGCTTTTATATTTCCACAGTTCATATTGCATGTTGTTTTTCTTAAGTAACAGGCTTTTAGCTGTATTTTATTATCAGTAAAAAAGAGAACTAGTTCTTTTACTTCCTGGTTACTATTTCTTTTTCCTTCCTGGTTTCCCTCTCTTTTCTTTGTCAGGAGAATCATGCTGCAGAAGTCCGTAAGAATAAGGAACTTCACACTGAGCTCTCTGGCTAAGGACACTCTTGATGCCAGAGCCGTGAGGCGTCCAATCATGACTGCATTTGGAGAATATCTCATTCTCTGGCCACACTGTCTAAAGAGGTCATATCAGACTCACCTTATCAGTTTTCCTTATCAATAAACGTCTGAGCATATAACAGCATCCCACATACACTATGTGGACAAAAGTATGTGAGTACCCAAACACCACACCCATACGTGCTTGTTGATTGTTTAACTTCAGAAGCATGGGCATTAATAGGCAGTACGTTCTTCAGAAAATGTCTAGTTCTGTCGAGCATCTTCTGTTGATCCTAGAACAAGAAGTCTTATCCCTATCCCTAAAACCAACTTTTATCAAAAATTATGGCTAAAACCAGAGGGAAGTTGATAAGAATGTTGCTTAAGCTCCAGTCCTAAGCCAAACCCTTTTACATATTCCTAAAATCTGATTGGCTAATGTTGATCCAGGAAGGAACATGCCCTACTTGGCAGAATCGCAGTCACCCGCTTTGTGCTCAAGGACTTTGTCATGCTGAAAATAAAAAAGCATCGTCCAAAGCTGTTGAACAATCTCCAGACTGTTACTGTATGGAGTTATTTGACTAGCCAAACACATTTATTGTAAAGAGGTGTCCACATACTTTTGATCATGAAGTCTATCTGCCTGTTGAAAAAAACAACAACTTGGACCAGCTTAAAGACTTGTTTTTAGATTGCCATTAGTGGTATGTTACTCTGACACAAGCTGATTAAGAGGGTTGTTGTTGCCGATAGACCAGCTAACCGAGTAGTTGAGCTAAAACCAGCATGAAATTGTCAAAACATACCTTATTTGTAACCAGCAATGGTACAATCTAGTCATTTAGTCTGGTCTTGGCTGTTATTTAGCAGGTCTGAATCTCACAAAAACAAAAACCATGGCTGTATCCACATTTACACTGCACTTTATAGGATATGATTCATTCACGTTGGTAGTTTAGATTAATTTCAAGTGTCACTGACTCAGATTTGTTGGTTTGTTTTTCAGTGACCTAAAAGAGAAATGTCTAATCTATATGCTGCTAACTGATTACTGAAAACCATTTAAAATAAGATTAAAGCATAACAAGTTCGTAAGAAGGCGTCTCTGTCATTTTTGCAACTGAGGGAAACTAAGAATGCATCCAAGAGATTATTTATGTTGGCAACACATCAGAATTTCTAAGTTGTTGTTTATCACCGTCTATAGCAATTTAGTGTCTCCTGAGGATGTGAAGTTTCTGTCTCTTGCAAGTTTCTGATCAGGTATTGAATTTGGAAATTACTGACGCAGTAGTTTCTGAATATAGTTTCTAAACAATTATGATTGTATTGCTGCTGATAAGACTCATATGCAATCAAGTAAATCAGTCATCGAAGTTGAGTAAAATGAGTGTGTGTTTGTGTACGTGTCATCACGTGTTTTTTGACGAACTCTGGCCATGTGATGGAAATTACAGATAAATGAAACTGAAGCCGTTTTGTTTGCTCAGATACTGCTGCTTTTGTTGTGTGTGTGTGAGTGTCTTCATATACACATAATGTCTAGCCTCAAGGTACAATTAAAGCAGTTTCATTCACCTGATTTGTTTAATAGTTTGTGTAACATTCCAGTCTGTAGTCACCTCGGGCATGTTTGAGTGTCATGTGCATTAAGCCTTATTTGTTTTCAGAAACAATGCCCAGCATAGATCTAAATATTTAAGGAAAAATTTAAGCTTGTGCAATGGGGAAAACATGACTAATTTGTTCAGTCATGGTTTAAAAAAAAAATGCATGTTGCATGCAAACATCAGTTTCTAATGCTTTCTGTATGATAGCGAAAACATATAGCAACAATATAACTGAAGTACGCATAAATTGGTGTAGATAATATAAAAAGTCTAATAGGAACATTTAAGGGTTGTTTTTTCTGATTTAGTAAAAGGGCAGGCTTCAGTATTGAAACTGAACGATGAAACTGTGTTTGCACTGTGCTGGAAAATAAGGTTATCCTTTAATTAGGAAGGGAGTGACTTATCCAGCGTCACGCAGCAACATCTCTATAAATTGTTTAAACACCTCTTGATGCACATGACACTGAGAGCAGCTGAATCATCCAGTGTTACAGGAAGATCGTGACCTATCAGAAAACCATTGGGATGGGAAGGAAAATATGAAGGTAAGATAATGCTGTGCATTACTGATTCACGTTACCTGATTCTTTTGTGAACAGTTTATTATTTAATAGAAAATAGTTAATGAATCTTTATAAAAAAGATCATTACATTTCGTAATCATCTGTGGAATTCAAAGCTGACAGCTTCAGTCACTGCTTACTTTACTGTTTTCCATATGTGAACCTGGAGCACAAAAGCAGTCTTGGGTTTATTTGTAGCAATAGCCAAAAATACATTGTATGGGTCAAAATTATTGATTTTTCTTTTATGCCAAAAATCATTAGGATATTAAGTAAAGATCATGTTCCATGAAGATATTTTGTACATTTCCTACCGTAAATATATCAAAACTTAATTTTTGATTAGTAATATGCATTGCTAAGAACTTCATTTGGACAACTTTAAAGGCGATTTTCTCAATATTTTACTCAGATTCCAGATTTTCAAATAGTTGTATCTCAGCCAAATATTGTCCTATCCTAACAAACCATACATCAATCTCAATTTCGAAAAATGGACCCTTATGACTGGTTTTGTGGTCCAGGGTCACGTAGTAAAAGGTGGATGGTGACTAAGTCTCTCACTGTGATAAGCATTCCCTTTTGTGTTACACATGTGAAATTAGTCATACTGAGCATGAAGATAAATCATTACTTAATATCTTTGGAGTGAAGTGTTCCTTTAAGAGATGCTGACTTGAAATTATTGTTATAAGGTGTTTACTTTAATCAGCTGTTTATATCCTTAAATAGACATTTGAAATAGTTCTGTGCATTGTGCTTATTGTGTCATAACTGCACTTATACAGTATTTGATTTTGCATTTACATTTATTGAAATGGGTTGTGTTGGCAGGTTAATCATTTTCAATTACCACATCCATTTTTGTAGATACAAATTACTGTGTGTAAAGATATGTGCCTTACTGATGTTTATTTTATCTGAAGGGTGAAAAGGTTTATTGATCAATATTAGAATGTGTAATACAGTGCTGCAGCCATGACATCAAAACCCAGAAGACTAATTCGCAATTCGTCCAAAATATGAGTAAAACCAGGTCTGCGGTAAGCATAACTTGATGATACTTGAACATTTTGTTGTACAGCATAAATCCCCAAACGTTCCTATGTACAAACATGTGTTTTAAAAAATAAATGTAACTGCTTCAAAATTCACGTTTTCAGAGTAAAAGATCAAAGTATTGTTAATTTATATTTATCACAAACCTTGTTTTATTCATATTTTGAAGAACCACATGATAAAAACCCATAGCAAAATCTCAAGGTAACAAAAACAGTAACAAAAAATAAGTTGTAAATGGCAGTTGTGAAATCTCATTCTAATTGCAAACGTTTTCTTTTCACAGTCTTTTAAGTCATGGTTCTTGCAGAAAATCTTCAAGCATTACTAGAGTCATACAAGCTGTGTGTCAGTTGTAAAAAGTGCTGTAAAAAACACAATGAGATTTCATATTCCTATAAGGAGATCATCCATAACTGCTCAGAAGACATCTTACTGATCAAGCGGAAAGGTGACAATTCATTGTGGAGGCCTGTTGCCCCCCTGCCAGGCTTTCCCAGACCTACCAAATATGTTGTTTGCTGGTACTTCACTGAAGAAAGTGGATGCACACAGCATGAAGGTAGATGTACCTATGCTAGGAGCTCAGAAGAAGCAGCGCTGTGGAACGTCATGAAGGATGAAAACCTGGCAATTCCTAAGCTTGTGAAAATGATAAAACAAAACCAAAGGACACTACAAGGAGGACAGTTCAACTGCACATTCTGCCACATCCACTTCCCGACAGATGAGGAACTGATGAACCACTGTTTCACTGTGAATCACAGGAGACTCATCTTTGAAGATACAGGTACCTCTCAGACTTGGAAGTACAGAGATCCGCCACCAACATACAAGGACCTGAAATTGTGTGAAAGGTATTTATATGAAGTGTGACATGCCATTAGATGTTTGCTTGTATCCAAGTAAGTTTAAGCTACCTATAAAACATTCTCCCATAGTCCCCTGATATGCGAGTATGGTGATAACTGCACAAAGGCGCACAGTCAAGAGGAACTTCATGAATGGCAAAAGAGAATCAAGGCTTCAAGAAAAAGAGCCAGAGATGCAGCCGAGATGGGTCTACTGTCCTATCAGGACAATCTTTTGGAGGAATACAGACACAGCAATGACAAGAAAATGATTGTAAGTGGGCCGTTCGGTAATGAACAATGTACAATGTCATGTTATGACCTGTTGACAGGTGTATCTCTGACCTCTCTTTGACTCTTTTGCATTGCTACTGTACTTGCATTTAATTTGAACCTTGTGTTATGTATGCTAACAAATACATTTTATTGACCCATGCTATTTTTTATAATATTTTTACAACCAAAGCTTTAATTGTACATTTTTAAAATTGCTTTTTACAATATCATAAACAGTGATTAAATCAATATTCCTGCAGGTCAGCGACACCCTTCCTGATGTTTCTATCAGCTGTGACACAGATATAGACAGTGTGTATGTACGGAAAAAGGGAATAGTGTGTACATGGAATTTTACCATTAAATCCAAGGTCTGTACATTAACATGTATAACGTTTGTCTTTAAATTCCAAATTAATGGGTAAAAAAGATTGTCATTGTTACATTTGACCAGGTTTGTTACAATAGAGTAATACCAGTTACTAATGATTGATAGTACTACATTTGCTCTTAATGTAAGAATTATGGGGTTCAGTTCATAATTTTGATAACGAACCTTAAGGAAGTCCTTATCCTTAGGTCCACAAGTAAGATAAGAAAATAATTACTCAAAGCATCTTTTCAGAATTTAACAAGCTCTTGTCAAAATTGTTAGCAACTTTGGTCCCACTTTATATTAGGTGGCTTTAACTACTATGTACTTACATTTACTTTGTACTTATATTTTTTAAAATAGCTATATGTAATTACATTGATAATTACACTGTTGACCCATCCCTTACACTTAAACCTCCCCATACCACCAAACATGTTCCTAACCTTACCCGTATCCCACCTCAATAGCAGCAAAAGTGTTTTGCAATACAATATAAACACAATAAGTACATTGTACATATTTTTTGATGTAAGTACATAGTAGTTAAGGCCACCTAATATAAAGTGTGACTGCAACTTTTTATTACCAAGTGGATATGTTGTATATATGGTGCGATCCAGTTTTTGAGGTCTGTTAATCTGTTTAGACATCTGTAAGTGTGAGACAGTAGTGTAGGATAGCCTCTGCAATGACACTGATCTTAATGTAATTCCAAACTGACTTAAATCCCTCCAGGAACCTCTAGAGATTATTACTTTATTCAAATGGGAACTGGGGGCGAAATTCAGCCTCGGCAAAGACCCCGATGAGGAACGGACATATTCCAGTAGTGATTGGTTTAAAAAAAAAAAAACAGGTGATTTAATATTTCTTACAAAACCCAGCAAGAAACCGTATGGCATGTTTTTACTAATACTAATTAATTAATTAATCAAACTGCCATCAATTAATTAATTGAACTGCCAAGTTCACAAATTAATTATTGTCATTTGTTTCTGCAGAGTATGAAATCCCAGTGTCCTTCAGATCTGACCAACCAGGCAAGTATGAGCAGTGGGTAGTGTTTGACTTCAACACGAGACCCGTACTACGACAAAAAATCAAGGTCAGAGTTGGAGAGGATGAGTGTAAGGGAACAAGAGTCACATGTCCAACATCTGAGGTTCCCCTAGAAAAACAAGAGTCTGCCAGGAATCTTGAGCCCTGGAATGAGGAAAGCCTGGAAATCATTCCTTTCTTTGAAAGAGAAGAGGCAGAGAGAGAGCTGAGAAACAGATACAAGCTCATCATGATAGATGAGAGGAACAGTGTGATTAACCATGACAACTACAAACACAGCATGCACAATTTTTTATATCAGGAGGAAAAGGTCGAAGGTGAACTGCTTACCAGGTATGTATGTATATAAATACGTAAGTATGTATTTGGATTTGACAGTTAAAGTTTATAACAAAATCCAAATTCACAATCTGTACTCTCTCTGACCAGGCTGAATCTACGAGGCAATGTGCAGTTGAAAAATCAACTGTTTGATGTCAGGTTTGGAATGAAATGGGCTTATTCAGGGCAACTTTTTGCTTCTGTGCCTCTGCCTCACACACTCACTCCTGATGCTCCTCAAGGTTTCATAGTGAAAAGACATGCTATCAGATCTCTTGTTCATGTTGTGAAAAACAATGATTGTATTGGGCCTATTTATGAGGCTGAATTTTTGAAGGATGCTGCCAATGAGACACAAATAGTATTGCAGCTTTCCAAACAATGCTGCACTGATTTGAACCTGCA